GTGAGTTTGAACCCCAAATTGGGCTCCATGCTGACAATGTGGAGCCTGCTCGGGATTCTCTGTCTCCCTCTTTCTCTGCCCCTCTCCCACTCATGCTGTGTCTCTCTCAAAATAAATAATAAATTAAAAAAAAACTAAAAACAAAAGAAAAATATATGATTTCAATTATTTTAAATTTAGGTGTGTCTTATGAGTCAGGATATGTATGGACTGTCTTGGTGAATGGTGTTTGAAAAACATTCTGTTGTTTTTGGATGGAATGATCTATATGTCAGATCCTAGTTCTTGATCATGGTGTTCAGGTTTATTGCATCCTTGCTGATATTTGTTCTGTAGTCCTCAGCTCCTGAGAGAGCAGTGTGGAAGTCCTAAATGATTATGATGAATTTTCTCAGTTTCTGTTTCAGCTCTATCAGTTTTTGCTTCATGAATTTTGTTATTTGGTTCATTCACATTTAGGATTGTTATACCTTCCTGGTGGATTGATTCCTTTATTACTATATAACATCCCTCTTTGTCTCTAGTCAGTTTCTTTGCTGTGAAGTCTACTACATTTGAGATTAATATGGGAACTTAATGCCTTTTAAAATTCATGGTTGCGTGGTTTTGTTTTGTTTTTTCTTTTGAATCCACCTTCGCAATCTTTGTCTTTTGATTAGCGTAATTAGAACCAATGTCTAGATAATAAAGTAATTGCTGCTATGTTAGGGCTTAAGTTGGCCATTTTATTAATCAATTAAAATTTGTTTCCTCTAGATCTTATTTTTCTGTATCTCTTTTATTGCTTTTCTGTGGGTTATTTGTTGTTTAAGATTCCATTTAGATCCATTCCTCATGTTTTTTAGTGTATCTCTTTGTATAATTTTCTTAGTGGTTCCTGTGGGTATTACAATACACATATGTGCCTTATCACAGTATATCAGTATATTATCACTTGGAGTGAAGTGTGAAAATGTTACTTTTGTTTAGGCCCCTTTATTACTGTCCCCACTTTTAAGTCATTGTCTAGAGTATCAAGTGATATTACAACTTACCACATTTGATTTTAAAAACCTGTGGGTGGAAGGATGCCAATTTATATAGTTCTATTTTTGCTCTTTCCATGATTTTTTCTTCCTTCCTGATGTGCCAGTGTTTCTTTTATCATTTTCTCTATTTGAAGAATTTCCTTTTAGCCATTTTTCAAGGTCAGGTCCGCTAGCAGCAAATTCTTAGTTTTCTTTCCCTGGGAATGTGCTTAATTCTACCTTCATTTTTGAAGGATAGTTTTGGTAGATACTCACTCTGCAGTCAACAGTCTTCTTTTAGAACTTCGAAGAAAAATGTTGTGCTACCTTCCTGTGACCTCCGTGATTTCCTGAGAAATCTGCTCTCATTTGAATTGTTGTCCCCCTATGGGTAGTAAGTCATTTCTCTGGGGTTGCTTTCAAGATTTTTTTTTTCCTTTAGATTTCAAAATTTTAATTATGATGTCTTAGTGTAGATTTCTTAGGATTTGTTTTATTTAGTATTCATTTGGCTTCTTGAATCTGTATATTTATGTTTCTGGCCAAATATGGGATATTTCTGGGCATTTCTTAAAAATATTTCTTCAAATATTTTCTCAATTCCACTTCTTTTCTTACTTTCTAGGACTTTAATGACACATGTTAGCTTTTTTTGTTTTTCTCCCAAAGATTCTGGCTCTTTTTCTCAGTCTTTTTTCTCCATTGTTCAGATGGGCTGAATTCAATTGATCTGCCCTCAAATTCTCCCCAATTCCATTTTCTGCCATAACAACTCTACCCTTAAGCCCGTCCAGATAGTTTTTAAATTTGTTGTCTAGTTTTTTTTTTTAACGTTTATTTATTTTTGAGACAGAGACAGAACATGAATGGGGGAGGGTCAGAGAGAGAGGGAGACACAGAATCTGAAACAGGCGCCAGGCTCTGAGCCGTCAGCACAGAGCCCGACGCGGGGCTCGAACTCACGGACCGCAAGATCATGACCTGAGCTGAAGTCGGACGCTTAACCGACTGAGCCACCCAGGTGCCTGTTGTCTAGTGTTTAATTTAACAATTTCCCCTTCAACTTTGGTGTAACTTCTATTTTTTGTTGTTGCTGAGATACTGTACTTTTTTCATTTGTTTCAAGAGAACTTGTGATTGCTTGAAGCATTTCTATGATGGCTGCCTCGATATCCCTGTCAGACAGTTCCATTGTCATGCTTATCTCAGTGTTGATGTCATTTGATCGTCTTTTCTCATTTTAGTTGTGTTTTCCTGATTCTTAGAACGATGAGTAACTTTTTATTGCATTCTGTACATTTAGCTGTTAAGAAACTCCAGGTCCTCTCTAAACCTTTCATTTAAACAGGGTGACCAGGCAGGCAGTCACCCTGCTTTAAAGGGTACCTCCCCAGTTGCAGCCTACTTTGTGGGCTCTGTTTGGTCCAATGACAGTGTAGCTTTCAGAGTTCTTGCAATGCTATTTAGGTCTACTTGACTTATTTGGTACCACTAGTCCTCCCGCTTTCCCCTGCTGGTATTAGAGTGTGGAAGGAGTTTCCCTCAAACAGGCTACTTGGTGTCTCCGGATGGAAGGGATGCTCTGGCCCCAAAGAAGAAAAAGCTTCACAGGTTGAGCTGCTAATGCGTCAGGATCCCCATGGTGTCTATCGGTAAGGGAGATGGGTCTCCAGATGTGGAGGAGGGTTTAGAAAGCAGCCATGTCCAGCTCCCCTCTCTCCTCAGCCGTTGAAAGGACCAGTATGCTTCTTGCATTCCACTTGAGGAAAGTGCAGCACTGCCCATTGCTTCCGGCTGGCTTCACACTCATGGGAAAGGAAAGGTCATGACCCTTAATGGCAGGGGTTGAGGGCCAGGTAGGAATTTGGGGGAGTCCAGAGAGCAGAGTGCTATGAACTGAATTTTCCCCAAAAGTCCTTGATGAAGTCTTTTCCCTAATGTGACGGTGTTTGGGTACAGGCCCTAAGGAAGTAATGAAAGTTAAATGATGTAAGGATGAAGCCCTCATCTGCTAGGCCTGGCATCCTTATAAGAGTAAGAAACACCAGAGCTCACTCGCTTTCTGGCACACATACAGGGAAGGGAAATACCATGTGAGGAGAGCACACCATCTGCCAGCCAGGAGGTGAGGCTTCAGTAGGTCAGGGTGATCTTGGACTTCCTGTCTCTGGTTTTGTTATGGTAGCCCTGACAAAAGAATACAGTTTTGGTACGGAGAGTGGTGTGTTATCATAGTATATATGAAAAACTATGGAGGTGGTTTTAGAGCTGGGTGATGGGTAGAGGGTAGAAGAGCTTTGAGGTGCTCGGTAGAGAAAGCTGGGGTTGCTTGAAAGAGACTATGGTAGGAATAGGGGCATTAGAAGTGATTCTGCCCCAGCCTCAGACATAAATGTGGAACATTACTGGAAACTTAAGGAAAGGCATTCCTTGTTATTTATTTACATGTATATGGCAGCAAAGAATGTGGCCAAGTTGTGTCCCAGTGCTTGGTGCAAGGTAGAAATCTTAAGTAACAGAAGTGACAAATTCCTAGCAAAGTGATGGAAGGTGTAACCTGTTTCTTCTCATAGAAAAATGTGACAAGGGAGGTGAATCGAACGAAGTGTTCGGCAAAAAGAAGCCAGAACTTGAAGATTTAGAGAATTCTCAGCCTGTCCATATTGCAAAATGAGAAAGCATGTTCTGGAGAAAATACCAGTGGTGTTGCTGGACAGTCATTTGATAGAGATTAGTTTGGAACCAGTCAACCCTCAGTGGAAACTGTGTGGCTCAACTAAGGATATGTAGATGGGACACAGTGAAGGTCAGGTGTCGGACCTCTGTGGTGTTATCCACCAAGAGGAGGAAACGGTGACCCTCATGGTGAAACATATCAGGTCTGCCATCCCCACCGTGGGCTCAGAGGGTGAATGCCTCCATGGTCTCACAGGGGCTGCATGCTGCTACAACAGCAGGACCAGAGGGCAGAGCATCCAACCAGAGAATTTTCTCAAGCCATAAAACGTAACAGAATTTGCTTGCTAGGTCATAAGATGTGCTTGAGACCCATCAATTTTTTCTTCTTTCCCCCTGTGGAAAGGAATGCAAATTCTACATCTGTGGCAACTTGTCTGGTTCACAGATTCACAGCTGGAGAGGAACTTTGCCTCAAAATGAAATATACCCCTAACCTCACCCACACTTGATTTACATGAGATTTTGGATAGAGTCAGTGCTGGAATGGGTCAGCACTTTGGGAGCTTTTAAGAATATGGATGTGAGGGGCGCCTGGGTGGCTCAGTGGGTTGGGCGTCTGACGTCGGCTCAGGTCATGATCTCGCGGTCTGTGAGTTTGAGCCCCGCATAGGGCTCTGTGCTGACAGCTCAGAGCCTGCAGCCTGTTTCAGATTCTGTGTCTCCCTCTCTCTCTGACATTCCCCCATTCATGCTCTGTCTCTCTCTGTCTCAAAAATGAATAAACGTTAAAAAAAATTTTTAAATATTCTATGGATGTGAGAACATGAATTTTGGGGGTTTGGAGGACTGAGTATTATGGACTGAATTGTTCCAAATTCATACATTGAAGCCAGAACCCTCCAATGCAACCTTATTTGGTCATAGATTGGGGGCTCTAACCTAGTAAGTCTGGTATCCTTAGAAGAGGGGGAGACACCAGGAAAGAGCATGCACAAAGGCCATGTGAGGACACAGTAAGAATGCAGGCATCTGCCAGCTGAGGAGAGAGGCTTCAGTAGAAACCACAGTACACACATTGATCCTGGACTTCAGTCCCAAGAACTGTGTGAAAACTGTTCTTCAGCCATCAAGTTTGTGGCGTTTTTTAATGGCAGCTTTAGCAAATCAAAGCCATCGCTAGTACAGAAAATAAACCATAAATTAATGATCTTACAATCATTGAAAACACATTTTTTTTCCCTCCACTGCATTTGAAGAAAGTGCAACATTTCCTAGTGCTTTCTGCCATCTTCACAACCGTGAGGAAAGGAAAGGTCAGGAGAGCAGCTCTTGAGGTGGGAGGCGATGGCCAGACTTGGTCCTCCTATGTCTGTGGAGGTGAGACTTCTGGCTGAAGCCTCGGCCACACTCCCTGCACACATACGGCTTCTCTCCTGAGTGGGTGCGCTGGTGTCTGATGAGGGCCGACCTGAAGCCGAAGCCACGCCCACACTCACTGCACACGCACGGCTTCTCCCCTGAGTGTGTCCTCTGGTCAGAGGTGAAGTGAGACTTCTGGCCCAGTCCTTGCTCACACACTCTGTACACATCAGTCGCCTCCCCTGAGTGTGTCCTCTGGTGTCTGGTGAGAAGCGACTTGAAGCCAAAGGTACGTCCACACTCCGGGCACAGGTAAGGCTTCTCCCCTGTATGTGTCCTCTGGTGTCTGATGAGGGTAACCTTCTGGCCAAAGCCACGCCCACACTCAGGGCACAGGTAAGGCCTCTCCCCTGTATGTGTCCTCTGGTGTCCCATGAGGGAGACCTTCTGGCTAAAGCCGCGGCCACACTCAGGGCACAGGTAAGGCTTCTCCCCTGTGTGTGTCCTCTGGTGTCTGACGAGGGTGACCTTCTGGCGAAAGCCATGCCCACATTCAGCACAGATATAAGGCTTCTCCCCTGAGTGTGTGACTTGGTGACTGAGGAGCAGTGCCTGCTGCCTGAAACCACGCCCACACTCAAGGCACAAGAAGGGTCTTTCACTCGAATGTGAGCTTCGGTGTTGGAGGAGCGATGCCTTCTGGCAAAAGCCTCTCCCACACTCGGGACACACAAAGGGCTTCTCCTCCAAGTGTGTCCTCTGGTGCAGGATCAGGGCGATCTTTTGGCGAAAGCCTCGCCCACATTCCTGACATTCGAAGGGCCTCTCCCCAGAGTGTATCCTCTTGTGGTTGGTAAGTGAGGACGTGTACCTGAAGTGGCGGCCACACTCCCGACACACATAAGGCTTCTCCCCTGAGTGTTTCCTCTGGTGGATGGTGAGGGAGGACTTGCGGCCAAAGCCTCGCCCACACTCCCTACAGCTGTAAGGCTTTTCTCCTGAGTGTGTCCTTTGGTGCTTGGTGAGGTCTGACCTCTGGCAGAAGCCTCTGCCACATTCAGGACATACGTGATGTTTCTGGAGGCTTAAGAGACTGGATTTGGGACCAAGTCCCAGTCTGTATTTCCCACACATGGCTGCTCCAGATGCTGAAAGGTCTGCTTCTTCAGGACACATCCCCTGGTCTGCTCCCCCAGCTCTTTTGCCTTCTACCCAGTCTACTGGCCGACCCTGAGAGGATCTGAAGAGCACCCCGGAAACCCCACTCAGCTCAAGTCTCCCTTCTATCTCTTCCTCATCTCCTTGTTCACTTGAGCAGCTTGGAGCTTCCGTTGAGATGGGGCTTCCTGCATATGAGCTTGGGAAGATCTGAGGAAGGTGACCGCACAGCACGTACTGTTGAAGGAACTGTGGACTGGAAAGGGCCACCGGGCAGGAATGGACACAGGGCTGGAATTCTGTTCCTGGTTCTGCTGGAGAGAAAATGTTGGTCAGAATCACTACAGGCACCTTGTGAAAGGTTGGTTGTACCTGCCCAGCAGTCATTGCTCCGCTGTTCTCACAACCAAGACTTCCTTTACAGACCTACTTTCCATCCTTTGCTGACACATTACTGCATATCTTACTACAACACAGAAGATACACATGATGAGGCAGCTCTAACACCAGCCCAGCCCTATAAACTGCTGCCATTAGAGTTACACATTTCCACCAATACAGTTCACTTGCAAGAAGACATAATCAATGCTAATGCAAACGTTAATCCACAAATGTATATATGCTTCCACTAAGAAACAATGTGACTCATGGGGGCAGGGAGCGCAAGATGGTGGAGTAGGAGGACCTCAGCTCACCCCATCCCATGTTTACAACTGGGTGTCACTCACATCCACATCAGTAAACTGGAGAGTGATCTGGCAGAACAGACTCCACAACTAAACAGAGAGCAGCCACCTCTGAGAGATTATGAAGGACAGAAACGGTCGTCAGGAGCTGCCCAAAAGGAGCAATGAGGAGCTGTGGTCATGGGGATGGGAAGCCCACACAGAAAAAGGAAATCCCCATAGCATCCTGCCTGGAAAACCAGAGGAGCTGAATTCTGTGAGTGTGTATACCCAGTGGGATTTGGAGCCTAGAGCTTTAAAAGTCAACCACTTCAGCACTGGGTGAGTGATAACCAGGGCCTGCCCCTAAAGTGCAGCCCAAGGAGAGTCAACACAGAAGCGACAGCTTGCACGACAGGAAGGGAGATCTGTTTATGCTGATTTTGGAGTGTGCTGAGGAGACTTCTCTGGGAACAAAGGAACTGGCAGGTGACATTTTCCTTCCCCCACTCCCCCAGCATAAACACGGGGCCACCTGTGGGAAGTGGGGCTGCACGGACACTTGCTAGCACTGTGCCATGTCCATGTATTCTCCTGAGGACTTGCTCATCCTGCTGGCCTTGGCCCTGGGCTTATCACAAATTCTTTTAATACCCTGTGTGCCATGGCCCTCTGGCCTGCATTTCTTTGGGGGATCTGGTTTAGGATTAGCAGCTCAGTGCAAATTTTGCTAATGTAGTGTACATGCCCTGCCCAGTTCCTGCAGAACCCCAGGTCACAGCCACTCCTGGGCTCTGCACTCCTGGCTGTTGCCTTGCTTTGGGGGATTAGCCTAGGACACATGGCTCAATGAAGATTTTGTTAACATCATACATGCCATGACCGTCTATCACATGTCAACTGCCATGTGCCCGTTGTTGCCACCTCAGCTGCTTGCGTTACCCCTCGCGACTGCCAGTGTGCACCACGCTCCTAGCCACCACCGTGCTTTATGGCATCTATAGCCTAGGACTAGTGGCTCAATGCAAATTTTGCTAATATTGCCATCCCACTCTTGAGCCCTCGTACGGTCACTCCACTTTCAGAGCCAGCCTGATTCAGTCTCCCTAACACCACAGAGCAGGCACAGCCCATAACAGGCAGAATGAGTGAAGTCTGGACTGAAAAGAAAAGCTACTCAGACACAATAGTAGGATGCAAGCAACACACATAGGAGACACCCCTGAAGCGCCAGCTCCTGGTGAACAGGGGACACTACAGGACCTCTTCTTCATAGAACCACTGCTTTCAAGAGCAAGAGACATTGCAGACTTTCCTAACACATAGAAACAGACAAGATGAGACAGAGGAATATGTCCCAAATGAAAGACCATGATAAAAACACAGTAGGAGAGCTAAGAGAATTTAAATTAATGACCATAAAGATACTCACTGGACTTGAGCAAAGAATGGAGGACATCAGTGAGATTCTTAACACCGAGATAAAAAATAACGTATCAGAGATGAAGAACTCCATAAATGAAACCAGAAATACAACAGATGGAATAGGCAACAGGAAGGAAAGGAATATATCAGCGACCTGGAGGATAGAGTAATGAAAAGCACTCAAGCTGAGCAAAAGAGAGACAAATACTCCATAATGAGAATAGCGTTAGGGAAGTCAGTGACACCATCAAGCATAGTAACATTCACATTATAGGGATCCCAGAAGGGGGGGGGGGGTATAGAAAATCTATATGAAGAAATAATAGCTGAAAATTTCCTAAATCGGGAGAGAAACAAATCCAGATTCAGGAGGCACAGAGATCCCTCAACAAAATCAACCCAAGGAGGTCTGCACCAAGACACATAGCAATTAAAACGGCAAGAAACAGTGGTAAAGAATTTAGAGATTGCAAGAGAAAAGAGGACAGGTACATGGGCAAACTCCATAAGGCTGTTAGATTTTTTAGCAGAAACTTGCTGGCCAGAAGGGGTTGACATGATGTACTCAAAATGCTAAAAGGGAAATATCTGCAGCCAAGAATACTCTATCCAGCAAGGCCATCATTCAGAATAGAAGAGAACAAGAATTTCCCAGACAAAAACTATAGGAGTTTGTGACCACTAAACCAGACCTGCAAGAAATGTTAAAGGGAATTCTTTCAGTGGAAAGGAAAGTTGATAAGTGAGAGTGTGAAAAGTAAACACAAAAATAGTAAGAATAAGTATTTCTGTAAAAAATCAGTCAAGACATTCACAAAAGGATATAAAATGGGACACCATACATCTAAAACGTGGAGGGAAGGAGTAAAGAATGAGTTTAACATTGAGCAGCCCTCAGCTTAACATAGACTGCTACAGATGCAGAAAATGTTAGATATAAACTGAATGGTAACCACAAAAAAAAAAGTAATAGATAAGCAAAACATAAAGAATCTAAATATATCACTAAAGAAAACTAACAAACCACAAAAGAATCAGAAAACTACAAATATAACCGCAAAACAAGTAACAAAATGGCAATACATAACTATCAATAATTACTTTCAATGTAAATGGAATAAATGCTCCAATCAAAAGAATGACAGAAGGGTGACAGAATACATTAAAAAAAAAAAAAACCCATCTATATGCTGCCTACAAAAGGCTCATTTCAGACCTGGAGACACATGAAGATTCAAAGTGAAGGGATAGAGAATATCATGCAAATGGATGTCAAAAGAAAGCTTGGGGTAGCAGTACTTATATCAGACAAAATAGACTATAAAACAAAGTCTGTAAAAAGACAAGTACACTATATAATAATAAAAGGGACAATCCAACAAGATCTAGCAATTGTAAATAGTTATGCACCCAATATGGCAACACCCAACTATGTAAAACAGTTAATAACAAACATAAAGGAACTATGTTATAGTAATACAATAACAGTAGGGGACTTTAATATCCCACTTACATCAATGGACAGATCATCCAAACACAGAAAAGCAACAAGGAAAACAGTGGCTTTGAATGACACATGGGAACAGATGGATTTAACATATGTTCAGAACATTCCACCCTAAAACAAGATAGAATACACATTCTTCTCAAGTGCACATGGAATGTTCTCCAAAATAGATCACATATTATGCCACAAAACAAGTCTCAACAAATTTAAAAAGATTGACATCATACCGTGCATTTTTCTCAACCACAACCCTATGAAACTAAAAACCATAAGAAAAAATCTGGAAAGACCACAAATACATGAGGGTTAAATACTATGCTACTAAACAATAAGTGGGTCAACCAAGAAATCAAAGAATAAATCAAAGAGTACATGGAAACAAATGAAAGTGAAAACACAATGGTCCAAAAACTTTAGGAATGCAGCAAGAGTTGTTCTAAGAGGGAAGTTTATAATACATCAAGAAGCAAGAAAAATCTCAAACAACCTAATCTTACACCTGAAGGAGCTAGAAAAAGAACAACCAAAACCCAAAACCAGCAGAGGGAAGGAAAGAATAAAAATTAGAGCAGAAATAAGTGATACAGAAACTAAAAGAACAGTGAAACCAGGAGCTGGTTCTTTGAAAACATCAAGAAAACTGAAAAGGTTCTAGTCAAACTCATCAAAAAATCACAAGTTGGAGAAATGGTAACCAACAATAACACAAACTGTAAGAGAATGTTATGAAAAACTACATGCCAACAAGTTAGACAACCTAGAAGAAACAGATAAATTCCTAGAAACATATAACCTACCAAAACTGAAGCAGGAAGAAGTAGAAAATCTGAAGAGACCAATTATCAGCAAGGAGATTGAAATCAATAATCAAAAACTTCCAACAAACAGAAGTCCAGGACCAGATGGTTTCACAGGCAAATTCTACCATACATTTAAAGAAGAGTTAACCTATTCTCGAATTCATTTTGGGAGGCCAGTATACCCGATAGCAAAACCAGATAAAGACACCACCAAAGAAAAGAACTACAGGCCAATATCTCTGATGAACATAGATGCAAAAATCCTTCACAAAGTACTAGCAAAGAGAATCCAACAATACATTTAAAAAATCATTCACCAAGATCAAGTGATTTATTCCCAGGATTCACAGGTGATTCAGTATTTGCAAATCAATCAATTTGATACATCACATCAATAAGAGAAAGTATAAAAATCATATTTCAGTAGACACAAAAATTATCTGTAAAAGTAAAGCATCCATCCATAATAAAAACCCTCAACAAAGTAGGTTTAGAGGGAATATAACATAATAAAGGCCATATATAAAAAACCCACAGTAAACATCATCCTTAATGGGGTAAAAACTGTTTTCCCCCTAAGGTCAGGAACAAAACAAGGATGTCCACTCTCACCACTTTTATTCAACAAAACATTGGAAGTACTAGCCACAGTAATTAGACAACATACAGAAAAGGAATTCAAACTGGTAAGGAAGAAATTATAAAAAAATACAAAATATAGAGGGATAAATCTGAGTAGAAATGCATAAGACCTCTGTACTAAAAATTATAAAACAAGGCTGACAAAAATTAAAAGAACTCCCATAAAAATGGATATACTGTGTTCACATATTGGGTGATGCAGTGTTATTTCCATGTAAATTCTCTCCAAAATGAGGTAGATTTAATTCATTCCAAATCAGAATCCCAAGTAGGGTGTGTGTGTGTGTGTGTGTGTGTGTGTGTGAAAATTGCTATTCTAAATCCATATGGAAATTCAAAGAACCTAGAATAATTAAAACAACTTGAAAAAGAAAAAAACCTTGGAGATTTATACTGTCTGAACTCCAGACTTATAAGGCTACAGTAATCAAGACTGTGTGGTATTGGCATCAAGGTAGAAAAAGGAGTGAAAAAAAAAAAATAGAATCCAAATATAGACCCATACACATTTGGTCAATTCATTTACCACAAAGGTAAATAGGCGATTCAATAAACAACAGGTTGCCTTTTCAATAAATGGTGCTGGAAAATTTAGGTATTTGTATGCAAAAATAAATGTACTTAAATCCAGAGGTGGTACCAAGTATAAAAATTTATTCACAATAGATTATAGAGCTGAATATAAAATAAAAATTGTAACACTTCTAAAAGGGAAAAAAAATGAAAATCTCTTTCACCTTAAGTCAGGCAAATATTTCTTAAACACACTACCAAAAGTGAAATTCGTGAGACAAAAACTTGGACTTCATCAAAATTAGGAATTTCTCTTTGAAAGACTATTAAAAGATTGAAAAGGTGGGGCACCTGGGTGGTTCAGTCAGTTAAGTGTCCAACTCTTGATTTCAGCTCAGGTCATGAGCTCACAGTTCATGAGATTCAGCCGCATGTCCAGCTCTGTGCTGACAGCACAGAACCTGCTTGGGATTCTCTCTCCCCCTCTCCTTGCACACACTCTCTCTCTCAAAATAAAGAAAAGAAAAGGAAGCCATAGGGAAAATATCTGTAAATCAAACATCTGACAATGACCTTCTATACAGAATATATGAAGAACTTTCAGAACTCAGTAACAAAAATATAAGAAAACAATTTTTTTTAATGGGCAAAAGATTCAAAGAGACATTTTACCAAAGATGTACAGATGGCAAATAAGCATATGAAAACATCATCATCAGCCATTAGGAAACTGTCAGGCAAAACCACAGATGCCACTACACAGCTATGCAAATGTCTAAAATGAAAACAATACCAGGGTGCCTGAGGGGCTCAGTCGGTTGGGTGGCTCAGTAGGTTGAGTGTCCGACTTTTGATTTCAGCTCAGATCATGATCCCAGGGTGGTAGGATCGAGCCCTGCATCCACACTGAGCATGGAGCCTGCTTAAGATTCTCTCTCCCTCTGCCCCTCTCCCCCCCTTCACATGTGCTCACTCTCTCCCTCTTTCTCACAAAAATAAGAAACTTTTTATTTCTTTGCCAAGTTTTGGCAAAGATGTGGAGCATCGGGAACCCTCATACCTTGCTGGTGGGCATGTGAATAGCATAGCCACTTTGGAAAATAGCTTTTGAATACTGTAAAAAGTTAAATATACACTATATCCTATAACCCAGCCATTCCCAGTTCCGGGTATTTATCCAAGAGAAATAAAAGACTTGTCATGAACATCCATGCTGATTTTACTTGTATTAATCAAAACTGGAGACTACTCAAATGTCTTTCAGTAGATGAATGGTTAAATGAATTGTGCTATCTATGTAATGGAATACTATCCAGCAGTAAAAAGAAATGAACTATGATACAAACAGCATTATGGATGAAATTAAAAATAATTATGTTGAGTGAAAGAATCTGGTATACATTCTACATATTTAACTTACATTAACTCTGGAAAATGTGAGCAAATCTATGATAGAAAGCAGAGCAGTGGGTACCTGAGTCTGTGGAGGAGGGAAAGACAAAAGGATAGGAGATAGGGACTATAATGAGGCACAAGGAAACTTTGAGGTGACAGTTATGCTTGGTATTTGGATTGTAGCAGTGATTCCATAGCAGTAGCCAAATTTTACACTTTATTATTTTTTTTTAATTTTTTTTTTTTCAACATTTATTTTTGGGACAGAGAGAGACAGAGCATGAACGGGGGAGGGGCAGAGAGAGAGGGAGACACAGAATCGGAAACAGGCTCCAGGCTCTGAGCCATGAGCCCAGAGCCTGACGCGGGGCTTGAACCCGCGGACCGCGAGATCGTGACCTGGCTGAAGTCGGACGCTTAACCGACTGCGCCACCCAGGCGCCCCCAAATTTTACACTTTAAATACATGTAGTTTTTTATATTAAAGTATTTATTCCTAAACTATTATACCATAATACATTTTATATTATACCATTATTATAGCTTATATAATAGTTTCTCTTTAAAGAAAAAAGACAAAAGCACTGATTTTGCTATAAAGTACAAGTCCAGATATATGGTTGTATTTAGAAACAAAATGCCAGGAATGTTGAAAACAAAAGAATAAAAAAAATCAGGAAAAAATTTATTCTTACCTCCAGTCATTCACATAAAATTAATTCCCACTGGATTCAAGACCTACATGTTCCCAGAATTTATATGGAATTTCTACAAATCAATAACAGAAACAGCCCAAATGAAAAGGAAGGAAACCCCATGAACAGACAAATCACAGAAGAGGTAAATGACCAAACAACATAGGAAGAGATACTCATGCTCCCTGAAAAGCAAAGCTCCTCTGAGATTCAAAGCAAAGGGAAGAAGTCTGACAATACTTAGTATTGGTGAGGATGTGTGGGACAAGAACCTCTGAGATTCACTGCAAAGGGAAGAAATCTGACAATACCCAGTATTGGTGAGGATGTGGGACAAGAACCTCTAGGCTGGAAAAATTCTTGCCCCTGTTTCTATGGAAGTAACAGGAATATGAAGATAGCATTATTTAATAGCCAAAATTGGAAATAAGTGTCCAAAAGAAGGGAACTGGTAATGTGTTTTAACAGGATACTCACACAAAGTCAGTGAAAAAGCATGTTCCAGAAGGATGTGTACAGGACAATACTATGTGCAGAGTTTATAAACATGCAAAACAACACTATATGGTTGAAGGACGCATCGAATGGGGAAAAAGAAAAAGGGCACATGAGAATGCTAATGCACAAACTGGATTCTTGGCTGGGGTGGAAGAGCAGGACACGACAGGGAAGGTGTGGGGGCTGTTAACTGGTGTTCTAACATCTATTTCTTAGGCTGCAGGGAAGGCACACAGGCACTCATATAATTCTACACACCCTGTTGTAATCTTAAATAATCCATCATAAAAGAAGCAAGCTTATGGGAATTTATGGAGTAAAACCAATGCACTAAGAAATTCACATGTTATGAAAAAAACTAGATAGTGTCTCCCAGAGACAGCAGACTTAGTCTCAGAAGGCAAGTGCTATGCAGAGTATCAGGCCAACCAACAAAAGCCCAAGAACAAGGAGATCCTAGAACTGGAAAAGGTGCTGGAAAAGAGACACCACATGAACAGAATGAGCCTGCATAGGGGAGGGGAAGACGGCCAGGGAAGCCCTCTCTGGGTAAGCAGGATATCATGGAAGGGGGGCCCAAAGAAGAGCCCTCCCCAGGAGTTCATAAGCACTCCTTCCTCATCTGCTAAGCACCTCACTGCCTGGTCTCCTCACCAGCCCACTGCTTCCCACTCACCTGGACAAAGGTCCAGAAGACATTCGCTCTCCTCTCTCCAGGGCTCATCCCCTTGCTCCAGCTGGGTGATGAGTTTGGGTTTGGAAAAGGCAATTCCTACTCACAGGGAAAGAAACCAAGGTGACCCTGGGTTAGTGGTTTAAAAGGCTATGGCAGAACTCAGAGTCAGCAGGGGAATGCAATAACCCAGAAAGCTGGGGGGGGGGGGGGGGGGGGGGGGGGGCGGTGGCAGTGCGCAAAGGCTCTCTGAGTGCTGAGAAAGGATGACTAAGGGGAGGGGGAGTCCCGGATCTAAAGTCTCCCCTGTGGTTAACTGAATACCAGTATTCCCAAATTTGAGGCAAGATCACTTTGGAGGAAGGGCCCAACCTTGGAAGAGTCCTGGCAATTCAGTGTCACATAGCTTCACCCCCACCCCCACCCCCGCCACACACACACCTTCACTATTTCAGCTGTACAGAATCCAAACACTCTCCAGGGATATAGGGAAAATATTGTTTTTCTTTTTGAGCCAAAGTATCATGGCTACTACATAAAATCTTAAGATGTTCACAGGCAGTCTGAGACCTGAGACAAGACATCCTTACCCAGCGACACCAAGTGGCTGTAGTTCTCCAGCATTACATCCCGATACAGGGTCCTCTGAGCAGGACTCAGTAGCCTCCACTCCTTCTGGGTGAAGGCCACAGCCACATCCCTGAAGGCCATTAATGCCTGTAACACAAACACATTCCTGCTCACCCAGAAGCAAACCACATGCACTAGTCAGCCTAAGCTAAGCCACTAGCTAGGGCCAAGGCAGGAAGAAAGGCTGGTGTGGGGCCCCAGGTGAGATTCAAAGCCCCTGCTTTTAACCCAAAATCTAGTGCAGTGTGTTCAAGACTATTAATCCCCTTCTCACATTGCTTATGGGTCTAGTTAGGGGGTCCTCTCTTTTCTTCTCTTGATCTTATGTCTATGATGCTGCTATATAGTGGGTCTTGAAATCAGGTAGAATGATTCCTCCCACCTTATTATTCTTTTTACTCTGTTGACTGTTCAAATCCACAAATGTGGTATGTCTCTCCATTTATTGTCTTCTGATTTCTTCCATCAGCATTTTGTGATTTTCAGCATACAAATCCATATGTTTTGTTAGATTGACACCTTAGAATCTCTTTAAGTGATTTTAATGGTATTTTTAATTTCAGTGACACTATGTTCATTGCTAGGATACAAAAATACAATTGTTTCTATCTTAAATCCTACAGCCTGGCTGAACTTAGTTCTAGGATTTTTTTTCCTCCTAGATTCCTTTAGATTTTCTACATAGACAAGCATGGCATTATTTCTTCCTTTATAATCTATAATCTATATGCATTTTATTTCCTCTATTTTTTTGGTGCCAATTTTAAATACAGTTTTAAGACATTGCATTTTCGGGGCGCCTGGGTGGCGCAGTCGGTTAAGCGTCCGACTTCAGCCAGGTCACGATCTCGCGGTCCGTGAGTTTGAGCCCCACGTCAGGCTCTGGGCTGATGGCTCAGAGCCTGGAGCCTGTTTCCGATTCTGTGTCTCCCTCTCTCTCTGCCCCTCCCCCGTTCATGCTCTGTCTCTCTCTGTCCCAAAAATAAATAAACGTTGAAAAAAAAATTTTTTTTAATAAAAAAAAAAAAAGACATTGCATTTTCTACTTAACAATACAGTGCTTCTAAAGTGTAATGTTGTATTTCCTTTCCTTGTGCACGTATTCCATATTCAAGTATCAAGAATGCCCAGTTTATTAACTATAGCAGCTCAACTTCACTGCCATGGAATTTGCTACAAATTTGGGTCCTTCAAATGTTTTGTGTGAAACAATGCTCAACCTATTCTCAGGTTGGCTTAATCAACCTCTTCAATGGTGGGCCCAGAGGAGGCACCACCAGAGGGGGCAGCCCCACCACCAGGGAAGCCTCCAGGCATTCCTCCAGGCATGCCTCCTGCACTCTGGTACAGCTTTGTAATGATGGGATTGCAGACCTTATCCAGCTCTTTCTGCTGATGTTCAAATTCTTCCTTTTCTGCAGTCTGGTTCTTATCCAGCCAGTTGATGATTTCATTACACTTATCCAGAATCTTCTGTTTGTCCTCATTGATTTTACCCTGAAGCTTTTCATCTTCAACAGTTGCTTTCATGTTGAATGCGTAAGATTCAAGTGAATTCTTGGAGGACATCTTGTCTCGCTGCTTCTCATCTTCAGCTTTGTACTTCTCAGCTTCCTGGACCATGAGCTCAATGTCTTCCTTGCTCAAGCGACCTTTGTTGTTTGTGATGGTGATCTTATTCTCTTTTCCTGTCCTCTTATCCACAGCAGAGACATTGAGAATGCCATTAGCATCAATATCAAAGGTGACCTCAATCTGAGGAATGCCATGGGGGCAGTAAGTATGCCTGTGAGTTCAAACTTGCCAAGTAGGTTGTTATCCTTGGTCATGGCACACTCACCTTCATAAACCTGAATGAGCACACCAGGCTGGTTGTCAGAGTAGGTAGTGAAGGTTTGGGTCTGTTTAGTAGGAATGGTAGAATTGTGCTTGATGAGAACAGTCATGACTCCACCAGCAGCTTCAATGCCAAGAGAAAGGGGAGTGACCTCCAACAGCAGCAAATCTTGAGCATTTTCAAATTTGTCTCCAGGAAGGATGGCTGCCTGGACAGCTGCACCATAAGCGACAGCTTCATCAGGGTTGATGCTCTTATTCAGTTCCTTCCCATTGAAAAAGTCTTGTAGAAGTTTCTGAATCTTGGGGATACATGTAGAACCACCCACCAAGACAATATCGTGGATCTGAGACTTGTCTAGCTTGGCATCCTGAAGAGCTTTCTCTACAGGGTCCAGGGTGCCACAGAACAGGTCAGTATTTAATTCTTCAAACCGGGCATGAGTAATAGAGGTATAGAAGTTGATTCTTTCATATAGAGAACCAATCTCAATACTGGCCTAGGTGCTGGAAGAAAGTGTATGCTTGGCATGCTTGCAAGAGGTACAGAGGCGACGGACTGCCTTCTTGTTCTCACTGATGTCCTTCTTATGTTTGCGCTTGAACTCTGCAATAAAATGGTTTACCATTCAGTTGTCAAAGTCTTCTCCACCTAAGTTGGTGTCTCCAGCAGTAGCTTTGACCTCAAAGATCCCATCTTCGATAGTGAGGATTGACACATCAAAAGTGCCACCTCCCAAGTCAAAGATCAGCACATTCCTTTCGGCTCCAACCTTTTTCTCTAAGCCATAAGCAATAGCAGCAGCAGTTGGCTGCTGTACTTTGATGATTCAAAGTACATTAAGACCAGCAATAGTTCCAGCATCTTTGGTAGCCTGACGCTGAGCATTGTTAAAATAGGCAGGTAGTGACTACAGCATTGGTAACAGTCTTCCCGAGGTAAGCCTCTGCGATTTCCTTTATCTTTGTCAAAACCATAGAAGACACCTCCTCTGGATGGAAACTTTTGGTCTCTCCCTTGTATTCTACTTGGACCTTGGGCCTGCCAGCATCATTCACCACCATGAGGGGCCAGTGCTTCATATCAGATTGGACAACAGCATCGTCAAATCCACACCCAGTCAGGTGTTTGGCATCAAAAACTGTGTTGGTGGGGTTCATTGCAACTTGATTCTTTGCAGCATCACCGATCAATCGTTCAGTGTCAGTAAAGGCTACATAACTTGGGGTGGTTCGGTTTCCCTGATCGTTGGCAATTATTTCCACTTTCCTGTGCTAGAAGGCACCCACACAAGAGTAGGTGGTGCCAAGACCAATGCCAACTGCAGGTCCCTTAGACATAGTTGCTTCATTATGGGCCTGGCCTGGCTTGCGAAGGAAACAGCTACCTGGAGAGCAGTCAATGATCTGTTTCCTCTTGCTTTATTGCAGAACTTGTAGCACAATGAGAGTGGTGAGAGCAGACATCTTTGCCTTATTCTTAACATGAGGAGAAAAGCATTATGTCTCACAGCGTTAAGATAAGATGCCACGCCATACCCTCTATGATGGCTACTACCAAAGAAAAGGGAGAGAACACGTTCTGGCAGTGTGGGGACACTTATGCATTTCTGATGGGAAATGTAAAATGGTGTGGTTTTTGTGGAAGAGTCCAGCAGTTCCTCAAAATGTTAAACATACCACTGACCCTGCGATTCAGCAACTCCACTCCTAGCTATCTACCCCTATATACTTGTACAGCAAAGTCCCTAACATAATGGCATTATTCACAATAGCTCGAATGGCCATCAACATAAAATGTGGCGTATGCATACAATGGCATATGTTGAGCCTCAGAAACAAAGGAAATTCTGATACATTCAACACCAAGGATTAGCGTTGAAAACGTTAAGTGAAATATGCCAGTCTAAGAAGGACAAAAAGCGTTTGATTCCACTTAACAGCAGGTAACCGAGAATGGGCAAGTCCATAAAGTAAAACAGAGGCTACCAAGAGCTGGGAGGAGTGGGGAACGAGGAGGGAGTCCATGCTTAATGGACACAGTTTTAGCTTGGGAAGATGGAACAGTGCTGGAGATGGAGAATGGGAATGGTTTCACAACAGTGTGCATGTACTTACCACCACTGAACCGTGCATTTAAAAATGGTTAAGGGACACCTGGATGGCTTGGTTGAGTGTCTGACTCTTGATTTTGGCTCAGGTCATGATCCCAGGGTCATGGGATAAAAGCCCATGTTGGGCTCCACACTGAGCGTGGAGCCTGCTTAATGCTCTCTCTCTTTCTCCCTCTGACCCCCTCTCTCAAATAAATTTGTGAAATGGTTAAAACAGTAAATTGTTTTATATATATAGTTATATATTATTACAAATAAATATATATATAGCAGTAGACATGTATGTTTATATATATATAAGCAATAAAAAATGTTAGATATATATTTTTTTGTAGATGTTCCTACTCAAGTAGAGGAGTTCCCCTGCATTCCTTTTGTTCTAAGATTTTTTTCCCCCACAGTGGTTATTGAATTCTGACAAATAATTGATTTTACTGCCTCAACTGATATAATCATGTGGTTTTTCTTTTTTAGTCTGTTAAAATGGTGGATTACACTAAGTTTCAAATATGGAACTAGTCTTGCATGCCAAAAGTAAACTTTACTTGGTAATAGTGTATAATTATTTTGGTATTAACATAATACCTGCTTCACAGAGTGAATTGGGAAGGGTTTGTTTCTTCCTCTTCTATTTTCTGGAAGAAATCATGCAGCACTGGCACTAAGTCTTTAAAGATTTGGCAGAATTCCACAGTGAAAACATGTGGGCCTATACATTTCATTTGTAGTAATTTTTAGATTGCAGATTGAACTTCCGTAATAGCTATAGAGCTGTTCAAATTATTCCATATTGGGAAATTTTCAGTAGTTTGTGTTTTTCAAGGAAGCAGTTCATTTCATGTAAGTTGTAAAATTTGTAGGCTGGTATTCTTTTGATGGCTTCAGAGTATGTAGAGATACCCTTTTTTCATTCTTGATGTAGTAATTTGTGTCTAGTCTCGTTTTTCTTAGTCTTGCTAGAGGTTGTTTCAATGTTATTATTTTCAAAAGAACAGCTCTTTCTCTGTTCTTTTCAATTTCACTGATTTCTGCCTTTATCACTATTATTTCCTTCTATGTGTTTCTTGAGTTTATTTAGCTTTTATTTTTCTAGGTTCCTGAGATAGAAGCTTATTGATTAGAGACTTTTCC